CTGATACAGCAGCCACGTGCTCCATGTTCCGATGCGCAAACGCGTTCGTGAACTACCGCGAGTGTAGTGGTTGGGTCAAGGGGATCGGAGGCAACAACGCCCCCGTTCCTCCCCTAGGGTACGGAGACGTGACCGTAGTCTTTCTGACCGAAGGCGGTAGGGTACCAGTGCTAATCCTGAACGCCGCTCATGTGCCCGAGTCCCCCCACAACCTTCTCTCACTGTCGGCGTTGGCCGAGGAAGGCCACACGTATTCCGGCCAGAAGGGGGGGCTGACTCTCACTACGAGAGCCGGGGGGAAGGTGTGGTTCCCCCGGCCGGGTAAGCTGCTAACTCAAGAAGGCTATCAGATCGAGCCGAAGGTAGACATCGCCTGTGCCGCAACAATTGTTCCTGGCGATGCGAAAGCAGCCACCCCCACTGACCTCAACTCCGACCACAATTCGCACGGCCACACGCACGAGGAACTGCTCCAGAAAACGGCGAAACAGCAAGGAGTGCAGCTGACGGGGGGACCGCTGCTACCATGCCTCGGCTGTTCGATGTCCAAGGGGCAGGTGAAGCCCATTTCAAAGAGCACGGACACACGCGCAGCCAATAAATTGTTCCGCCTCTTTCTCAATTTAGGGGGGAGGATGCAGTTCAAGAGCATTGGTGGCAACTGGTACACCCTCATCATCCGAGATGATTGCACCCGCTGGACACGTGTTTTCTTTCTGAAGCACAAGTCTGACGCCGCTGCCGCGTTCGAGCAATATCTGGCGGACTACAGAGCAGAAACCGTCCCGTGTGAGGTGTTTGTCGCACGTACTGACGGCGGCGGAGAATTCCAGGGCCAGTTTGCGGAGGTCTGCCGTAGATCCGGCATCAAGCAAGAATTCACGCCCCCCAACACCCCCAAGTACAACGGTGTAGCGGAACGAGCGTTGGGGTTGCTTGCTGATTCTGCGCTTGCCTCCCGCATCCAAGCGAAAGAGATGTTCCCCGACGCACCAGTCAGCCCCGGCTTGTGGGCCGAGGCCATTTCTTGTGCGTGCCACCAGATGAACTGCACCGCCACTACCGGCAACCCTGGACACAAATCACCGGAAGAGCTGTTCCACGGTACGCCGCCGCCGGTCGGGTCTACACACCCGTTCCTCAAACCTCTCGTGTTCAAATCGAGAAGAAAGGCAAGGTCGCAACCAAGGGCGCGAAAGGATGGTACCTTGGGCCTGCCCACAATCACCCCCGTGACTGCATCCGCTTGTTAACCGAAGCTGGTACCGTGGTCACGTCCCGAAATTTCACCTGGCGTCACGTG